ACATATATTTTATAGGTACTCTGTATATACAACGGAAAATATTTTATAATAAATATTATTATTAATATTAGTAACTGAATTATATTATATAGTAATAAACTTTATTTATAGAATACGTCATGGCTAGGTTAGGTTAGGTTATAATAATTTGCATACAAAAAGTAATGATATCCCACCAAAAACATATAGGTATGTAAAATGAGAGCCAAGTTCAATACTATAATATATGCCTTGGTTGTTGACTTCAACGACAAAAGAAGTGAGATCTAAATGGGTGCCAAGTTAGGATAATATATTGAAGCCTAAGGTCTGACTTGGCTACGAATTATATATTATAGCATTTGCAAGTTCTAAAGCTTTGAGTTCTTATTTTATTCTTCGGAAAATCATCTTCACTCTTCCATTACTGTTTTAGTAGGTACCTACTTATAATAATAATTCGTATATGAAAAGTAGCCAAGTCACACCTTAGGCTTCAATATATTATCCTAACTGGGCACCCATTTAGATCTCACTTCTTTTGTCGTTGAAGTCAACAACCAAGGCATATATTATAGTATTGAACTTGGCTCTCATTTTACATACCTATATGTTTTTGGTGGGATATATTTAAGTACAATAGATAGTTTAAATTATTTAAATTTATAGCCATAACTCAATGCATACTTAAAAGTTTAAATCATGTTTATTATTATATATTATATATATATATATATAAATATATATGCATTTTTGTATTTATATTGCATTTATAATATTATGTTCTATTAATTATTAATTGCAATTAATTAGTAAGTACCTACCATACATAATCGTATTGTTGACTTTTATAAAGTGGAGTATCGTAGTCGTATTCTTAGAATATTTGTACCAATGTCATGATTTTTCTTTTATATTTATACACCCCGTATAGGATTTAGAGATTATAAATATCATAGGATATTTTGACCGGGGGGGGGTGACTTTTCTAGGATATTTGTAACCCCCATTGGCGGTATAATATATATTATCATAGAGAAGTTATAGGTACCCCCACGGGGGTTCATTATTCCTCGGTATGAATTTTCCTGCCACTCTGGTACTTTACCATACGTCCATATCGTGATATAAAGTTGATACTAATAGTATGGTAATAAATCTGAAAATAATTTATTTCGTTATCAAGCTTACTATTTAGATTGATCATCATTCATCTCAAATTTTAAAATGTGAAAATATACCTATGAAATTTTAAACAGTCATTATACGGAATTTAAATAAAAAATGGGCGATTAATCTCGAGTAAACTTTGTCTCAAAATTAAATATGTTTTTACTAATCAGTCAATAATACTTCAAACCTTGAGAATGATTTCTGGTAGAAAATCTGATCTAGTTAGGCAGTACATAAGGTGATAAAAAATAAAAACTCCTAGTAATATCTAAACGATTGGAATAAACTTAAAAAAAGTAAAAAAAATCGGGATTTTTATATATAGTGTAAACCCAAAAATGATTTTTAACAAAATCAATTTTGTTTTTTTGTTATAATTATTCAAAAATGAATTGCTGTAGAGTTTTGAATTTTTCACCAAATACATATTTTGTTTTATTTTTTTCTAAATAATTTTCAAAATATTTTGTTGCTATTTGTATACATTTTAAGTTTTAATACATTTTGACGTTTGATTTTTTATCTATTTATGCGTATAAACATTTTCGTTTGTAAAAAACAAACAGAAAAGCTTGGAACATAATAAAACAAAAATTGTTTTTTATAAGTATGTATATTTCAAATTTTTATGGCATATCATATATTATTTAGGTAGTTATATCAAGTGCAATCATCAAACAAACATAAGTTTTTTTTTAATGATATGATGGCTATTTGCTATGGCCACAAGGCGCAAAGTATGAAAACGTTTTTTTTTAACGGGTGCTGCTTCGTATAGTCATAAAGCTGGAATAATTCCAACAACATTTTATCCAAAAATGTTACATTTAACATTTGTAGCACATGGATTTTACCTTGTAGCTGAAACCGTTAGAGTATAGTTTCCCTTAGTCGATTCATTATTTTCTACTGTAAAAAAATATTTCTAAAAGCGCCTGTTTTAGTATTAAAATTTAAGGAATTATATCCTACTTTATGCCTTCTACCTGAGCTAACCATACTCGGTGGGGGTACTAGGTAACAGCAGTCAAATACTATTCTAACAGTTACGAAAAAAATAAAGAAGTGATTTAAAATCTTGATTCAAATACTGCAATCGCTATTACAAAAGCTACTAATATTATGCAAAACAATTACCTGAATTTAAAATATATTTCGGTAAATCTTTCTTGGTTAAATTATTAAAAGAATTTAGAAACATCAAATCTAAGTAATCTAACAATAATTGAAAGTCTTGCGATAGTGGAAAATGCAGCAAACAAATTAAATGAAGTTCAAAGAGAATCCGGAGCTATAATAAAAAATAAATTAAATACATACTCACTAAAAACGTTGCTTTACAAAAAATCAAAACTATTAGAGGTAGGTATATTCTTCTGAAGAAAATAAAATACGTCAATATATATTGAATTAACACCACCTGCTGTATCAAGTATGAAATATGTCCCATTATCCTCGGTCGACGGATGCTCCTTCATCAGCTACAAGTCATTTTTGAGACCTAACCGTCGAAAAATTTATATTTGAAAATCTCCATATTATGTAAGTTTTTGTATCTTGTATCTAATATTCCAAGTAGACAACAATAAAGATGATTAGATGAATAATTATTAATTAATAATACTACAATATCAAATAATTTATATAATGAATCTATAATATGGCTATATTAAATATAGTAAATTTTACAAAACAAATAAACCAAATATTTAAAATAGCACATTAATGTACAAAAAATACTACTGTAGATTCTTATTATGTCGTACGTCGATATCTCGAATTTTTCATTACGCCAAACACAATGAAATCCCCTTGAAATAATTACAGTTAAAATAAAATTCGATATCTTGATTATTTATATTATGTGTGCTTTGAGTTTGGACATAACAAGAGTTTACTGTACCTTACAGGGGCGTAATTATAGGGAATAAGATGGATAGAACCGCCCAAAACTTTTTTTTACTGCTAAAATTTTGATGAATGTATTGATAATGACCAATTCATGTTTGCTAAAAACGTATACCCCCCCCCCCCCATACCAAATTCCTAATTACGCCACTGGTACATTATTATTAATTAGGTAGTAGAATAGGTACTACTAAAAATCTATTTTATGCAGTATTATCAAATCAGTTCAGAATTCAGATAACAAAAATAAATTCAAACACTAATAACGTCTTGAAAAATAGGATAACTATAAATAATTATTTAGATTCTGAGTGGAGAATTTGCTACAAAAAACAAACCTTAAGGAAACATACCTACATTATTGTAACCAATACATTCATCGCTCCTCTCAGATTCTAAAGTGAATCATTTGAGTAATTTTAGAATCTGACCAGAGCGATCTCGATGAATGTATTGATTTCAATAATATAGGTAAGTTTCTTAAATGCTTGTCTTTTTAATTGTCAAAATCTAAGATTAAGCATCTAACGGTGCATGTTTTTATAAATGACACAAGAATATAAAATATAGATAATAATTTACTTGTATTTTATTAGATAATAGTATATAATAATATAAAAGTATTATTTAGATTATGTAAAACAATCGAACTAGGTAGGTAGGTATATTATAATTTTTATGCTGTCCATTTATTTCATATATTATACTATACATCTGATTTTTATTTATGTAAAATTGCAATATAAATAGATACTTTGAACATTTCTTAATAATTATTTCTGTTCATCATCCAAAAAGCGTATTTAGCTAGATTTGACTCTACCTACTAATTATTTTTGATAGTCAATTCCCAATAGTTTATAAATTTACAAAATTTAAAAATATTGTTATGTAGGTTCATAAGTATGTTTTTTTTGTGGAGTAAAATTGAAAGCTTCGATATTGCAGTACGCGATCTACCTTCTAATTTAGGTTACAGTGCAACTACCGGACATTCTCAGTTAGAGTGTGCGACCTACAATGCAAAACCATACCAATATTTTTATATTATTAATAACATAAATTATTTTTCGATCAAATTGAAATAAGTTATTAATATTTTTCTTAGAAATACTGATTGAATTAGGGAAGTATTAAGTTTTACAGTGTAGAGACAAAATAGTTATGTTTTTGAGCTGTATATATTATAGTTATACTGGAAACTGCAAATATTTTTTTAAAAAAACGAGTTTTCAGTAGGAACGAATAAAAAATTATGTAACTTAAGAGGACGCTACACAACCGTTGTGTTGTCTCCGTTTTACAAGTGGGTAACATTAAAAATCTACGCTCAGAAGAATGAGTTTAACTTCGTCAATTACAGTAAATCAACCTATTATTAAACTCGGACAATTAAACATAATCAAAATGCAAGTATTTATATTATAATATTATATTATGTATTAATTAAATATTACAAATATGTCACTTATTAATTCTAAACTATAAACTTATAAAAAATAAGTTTGACGATATTAGATTTGTAAATAAACGAGTTAACTTTTGTTAGAATAAGAACTGATAATATTTGTTTTTAAAATAGAAATAAAGCTTACTTTTTAAATAGGTACGTAAATGTTTTCAATAAACGTTCAAAAAATTACAGATTTCAAGTGTCAACTACCTAAATAAAAACAGTGACTATATAAAAATCCATTAACATTTCTATGTTTTACTTAAATATATAATATAAAATAAATTGATTTAATTCTGTATTTGAAATATACTTATAACAATAACAATATTTAACATTGTATATTATAATATTTTAGTTTTTGATAAATTACCATAAACGTCCAACTAAACTTTCAAGTTGTAGCATAGATATTAGATATTGGTAAACAGTATTGTCAAAAAAAATTAAAATTATCGTAAAAATAAAACTCAATTTATATTTAAATTTACGAGTAAAATGTTTTTTCAACCCATTCTTCCAATGTAAATGAAGCAACATTTTTATTTTCAGAGTCACGTTCTTTAAATATATCTAAAAATAAAAATGAATCAATTATTAAATAAATATTTAAAAAAAACTATAGTTATTTTAACTTAAGTTTAAAATCTAAATGTATTTGAAACGAAATATAAGCGGTGATTAAAATTCATTGATTTGTCTATACTTGAGATCGACTTTTCCACATTTTTAATTTTAATACATCACCAAAAATGTTTATATGGCTGTTTCTTAATGTCTATTTTTATTTATTTTTTAGATTCTGAGAGGAGCAATGAATGTATTTTACAATGTTTTTTTTTTTTGTGTCTGTTATCACCGTTTTGAGGAGGTAAAACTACTTCGAATTAGGACTATTTCGATTAAGCTTATTAAGATCTATAATCATTACCCAAAATGAATGTATTTAGATCTGATAACCTATCAAAGTTTTAGCACATTGGTTTGATAGATTTTAATTTTGAAGAACGATTTTCATTCATTAACACGTTTATTAAGACAATTATAATCAAATTACAGTCATATCAATTTGCCTACATATTTCCCCTTAAAACACGACCAACCATCGTTCCCTTACTTCCACAATATACACAACTTGGGGTCTAGGTATGTGATTGTTTTTGAATAAAATTGTAACCAACCTATTGTGGTTTTAAGTCTTATAGCACACATGATGAAATCATCGAAGTTTATGTATCCTTTTTTATTTGCATACCGATGACACATAGTGTTTATGGTACGTGTTTTAATATTGTAACCAACTGAACTTAATGCTGGTCTTAGTTCGAATCCTTTGATATAACCCTTGTTCTTTTTATCGTAAGTTTTAAAAATCACCTAAAACAAAACAATTTATTATATAATATTGAAAACTTAATGAAAAGCAATACAATTATATGGTTGTATATCTTTACTAGTGATAGGATGTTGATGACGTTTGCATTTTTTTCTTTTAATACTATAAAATGCTATCTTAGCTAAAAATTCATATCATGCTCCATTGATTCAAAATATATTACTTTTATTTAGCATTTTCTTACATTTTTAAAAATTTTTATAGCTATAAATACATTTTTATGTTGAAAACGTCATATTAATATAATTATAAGTCACTTTTGTTTTTGAATAATGCATGGCATTTTTCTCGAATTTTAGATTTTAAAGAAAATTTGTTCTTTTTATCGTATGTTTTAAAAACAATCTTTAAAAAAAACAATAAATTATATATTTTTGTAAACTTAATTAATGGCCTTAAAAATGTATAGTTCTATATATAATTACTCACCATCCACTGTCTAATGGCCATCAACAGTCTCTCGAATTCTTTAAAACCAAGTTTACCTGATCTATCCCAATCCATCATAGCAATGAAGCAACGACATACATCATTCGAGAATTTTGTGTTTCCAGTATCTATAAATAATATATTTTCTAATTAACAAGGTATTATAAATTAATCAATACTTTCATTGACATAGATTATACATAATATTATTAGTTAATGTAAATTATGTAAAAGAAATTCATGCCGAATAAAGGTAATAGGGTACCTAAATAAAAAGTTTGTAAGTTATACGTTTATATAATATACAATTTAAAAGTGTCAACAACTATTTGAGTGACACAGTTTCTTAATGTATTGCGTACATACATATTACATATTGCTTATGTAAGATCAAAATTTAAGAATTCCAAATTTAAATAAATGTCTACTATGTATATTTATTAAATATTTTACGATAATTACGGCAGGTATTTTGTTTATAGGTAGTCTGTTATTTAGATTTAATATAATGACTGTTTTGACGAACACGGACCTTTATTTTGTCCTCGGTATGATTCGAACAAATTAAACTACTAGTACCATAAGAAATCTGTAAACATAATATACAAGGTATAAGGTGTAACAGAATGACCTTACAAATGAAATAACTTTTGTTCTAATCAATATTTAAACATTTTAATTTAGTTTTAGTTAATTTATACTTAAATATAAGACACAAGGATAATTAATTACGACGGACCATACTTGATGTGAGATGATACAATATATATATGCATTAGGTATACTATTTCGTAATTTATTGTTGTCATATGAGTATATGACTTAGTCATAATGACTAAGTAGTTAACTATAGTATCAATGTTTATTTTTATATGTTGGGTCTTTTTGTAACTCCCTGTATGAAATTCGTATGAAGTTTGCTTGATCACCGATCATCTCGCTTTTACAAATGTTTACACTATGGCTAATCTTCTCATTATAAGCTTGTATTTAAAATACAAAAAATGGTGAAGTTTTAATTAGTAATTATACAGAAGTAAAAAACAAATAAATAAATAAAATAAAATGTTAAATCTTAAGTAAACTTTGTAATGAATTGAAATATGTTTTAAAATTACTTATCATATTACTGGCAGGGCCGCATTTAGGGGGGGGGGCACTGGCTACAACTTCCCCGGGGTCTAGTATTTTGGGGGAACAAACATTTTGTGGTCGGAAATTTGTTCCTTTGTGAATTATTAAAACTTTTAAAATTTAAATTATTTCAATAACAGTATTATATAATATTAATGTATTATGCTGTTTGAAATTAAAACAACTAATGTATTTATAGCTAGGATTATAGCTATCAGGGCTCGAGATTTATTAATATACCTACCTAATGATAGTTCCTAATACGGCGTATTTATCTAACTCGTGCCTACTACAAAAGTAAAATTTATTAGTGTACTAACTCGAACTACAGCATTTGTGAAATCTGCGATTACTGATAAATAATTTTTCTTTCATTACTCGGCCTTTTTTTTATTTTTTTATTGATCTTAAATACATCAACATCATCTAGGTCATTAGTACAAGGTGTTAAGTTAGATAATATTTACAATACGTTACATAATTTTTTTTTTTTTTAAATTAGATTATAAAATTCTGATTTTTTTAGGAATAAAATTAAGGTGTTTGTGTCGGCACTGTTGGTTATTTATTATTATTATATATTTGTTTTATTTTACTTTAATTATGAAAGGCAAAATAAAGTTAAGTGGATATCAAAATCGTAAACAAACTTTGTTAAAAGACAAAAAACCACTTAATGTTGTTAACAAATTCGGACAAATTCAAGACATGTTTCAAAAAATATAATATTAATTTGCATAGGTTACCTATATAATTTTATTAAATTTTATTTTTTTTTCATATTAATAATATATTATTATGATTCATGAAGTAGGTACCTAAACATGTAAAAAAAAAAGCAAACAACTTTCATATTGAATTGTAAGCAGGGCTCAAATCAAGTGGCATACACTCAATTGTATCATTGCGGAATGGGAGGAGGAGGAGTGTTCATGAAATTATTAAACAATATTTTATAAAAAGGCACACATTATTGTAAAACAAATATCCTTTTCTTTGCTCATAATCTAAAAAGTTCATGAGGATATCTTTCCCATATTTCCCGGGGTTAGGCCACTCTCGGAGTGCACCAAATATTTTTTTGCACTGGGGCGGAAAATGTCCAAATGATCAAGATGACACAAGTCCTATAGTGGCCGAAGAAGAAGAAGAAGATAGCTAACAAAATATACCTTTCATAGCAAAATCCAAAATATTTTTAAGATCCATCCAATCAACCTCTTTGTCATTCCCAGCTACTTTAAGGAAGTATTTTTTTAATTTTTCATTTGAATCATAATTTTTTTTGCTGTAAAGTGCCAATTTTTTTATCTAAAAAAATGTATTTTTATTATTTTTTTTATTTTTTATTTTTTATAAAATAACATAATTATTGTTTATATTACATTCAAACATTTTATTTCTTACCTTATCATCAATTTCAACCATTCCTACTTCATTGTCGAACTCCCTAAAAAAAATATAATTTAATATAACACCAAATTATTATTATTTTTTAAAATTGATTTTCTTCTATCACTTACGCCAAATTATTTTTTTTTTCTGAAAATACTCTGAGTAAAAACGCACCTTGTTCATTCTGATTAGACGAGTAAGGTACAATACAATATTTACCAGGAGGTACACTCAATCTTTTACAGACTTCTCTTGGTTTGAACTCAGAACAATGGACTCTATCTAAAGGATCGTTATTTTCAAAAAAATGTGTGTCCAACGGTTTCGGCACAGACTTTGAAATGTTGAGCTGAACGATAAAATAGAGTGAGCATCATAATTCATAACAAATAATACTGTACAACTTGTATTATTATTAAAATATTAAATAATTTGTAATACCCTAGGTACTTGTCCTACTTACATTATAAACATAAAATCCAAATGACAATGATTTATCTTTCTGTTTCTGTTGGCGTCGAGTGTCCTTGAGCATTAATGCAATAATTACGGTACACATATTGTTATTGTCATTATCGTCGGGATCTTCTAATGTTATATAGTACTGAGGATTACTCGAAAACGTTTCTAAATAATGACATCATATAAGTATATTCATCATTATTAATAATATTTAGTATATAATTACATAATATTATAATAGTCCTTAATACTATGCAGGGCTTAAATCAAAACCAATTATACTCTTTACCGTTATATGGATTGTATAATGAAATATAATATTATATAATAATATAATTAAACGAAATGACTGTTTAACGTTATAAAGAATTTAAACTTTTAAAAAATGTAAACGTTATTCAACTTATGCTTTTAAATGTTATTCATTTCTAGCGTATAGCTTTAGTAACAATGAAAATGTTAGGAAAAATTTAGCGTTTTACTTCTAGACATTAATTGAATTAGTGTAACATTACTCTACTATCATGTATCTAAGTTAAGTACAACCAGGCAAAGATCTAAAAATGAAAAATGGAGGGGCTAGACGAAAATATTTACTTCAAGTACGTTTTATTATGATTAGGTACCTAGTATTTTAATTTTTAAATCACAGTGTTAGAAAAATGACCATATAATATTATATTATTTTACAGATAGTTATTATTTTATAAACATTTTTTCCTGCAAAGTTATTTTTCAATCTTTAATCGTTTTCTGTTACATTGTTCGATATTAATATTTAATAAATTATGATTGTGTATTGTTTCTGTTTCGTTACCCGTTTTCCATTTTCAATCGTTTGTCGTTTACCGTTATGTTATCCGTTTCAATCGTTTATCGGTTACTGGTATGTTAACTATTATCCGTGTCAATCGTTTATCGTTTTGAAGCCCTGTTATTACTATCCAAAATAATTCTACCTTGAAATTTATCACATCCACCGGCTGTTGAGCCTCGGACCCATGCACCTTCTAATATACTTAAATCCCTTTTTTTTTCACCGTCTGTCACGTGTGCTTCCCTGTCAAGATGTTCAGAAGCCAAATGACAAATTTTCAATGCAGAGAAATATTTGACAAAATCTTCAAATGACATCCAAAACTCTCCATCGTCTTCTTTTATAAGACCTATTGATTGTTTTAATTGTTGAGGTATATTTAACCACTCATCTGAACTATTAAATATTTTTAAATTAATTCATCAAAATGGCACGATTATATTATACAACATTATAATAAAAAGCTTACTTGTCACTCCAACGGCCGTTCCATTCGCTACAATTACCCCAAGGATTTCGAAGTCTAATCAGAGGTATTATACTATTGCTCATTGGTAAAGGTATATAAGATATCCTGGTAATACTATATGCATGACCTGTTCTTAACCCTTTTTTTTTTGGATCAGGCTATAATATTAATACATTTTATACAGTTTATGATGTCTAGATAATATGAGAAAAAACTCTATTTTATATAAAATTGAATATCTAACCAATTTGTCCTTGTATATTGAACCACACATGAGTGATTGTCGTTGAAAAGATTTTAGCATAATCGTGAATAAATTAGTTGGTACTTTATCTAGTTTATACATTTCTGAAATTCCTCCAGTGAAATCTCGCATAGCCACTTCTGCATTACCTCCGTGCAAAGCTTCGTATGAACCGTGAATCCTATTCATGTACAATTTATAGTAGAAAATTATATTTTCTGCATACTTTTGGGAAATCATAAGTAAAAATAATCAGTACCTTTCAAATTAATATATAATCATGATAAACAAAAAAATATGGCAAACTCAGTTTATGACATAATCAAATTATTTCAAAAATAAATAACTTATGTCTTTAAATTTTCACCAAAAAATGTATATTAGCGTTTACTAGACATGGTTGTCGTATACGCCACAAAGGTCAACATTACACTCAACAAGTATAAGGTCACTTTACTCTCGAACAATTGACAACGATAACGATTCCTGGATGCTTGAGGGTTAAGCCTAGACAAAGTCTTACTTTTTCTCGACTGACCAGGATAAAGAGTATTGAAAGAGAAAGTTATAGTACTGAAGTGTCTTTCAACTTTTTCCAAAAGTGTTATTCACCACAAAAGCTTTAAATAAAACTTGAACACAATTTTCGGTCAGAACCGCTTTTATAAATATACAAAAATCGTAAAATAAAACACTTAGTCCGTGCTACGATTGTCGTTTAACCACCAGTGGCATTTAAATGATTTGGTCAAGGGAGGTTGAGAATATAGCCGATTTTTTAACAAGCACTATATGATTATTAAAAATATAATTTATGGTTATCATATCTTAAACATTGTAAAAAGGTCATGGTGGGGGGATATCTATCTAAAACTACTGTCATAGTTTTCATTATATTATGATTATTATGAGAATTCAAAGTTCAAATTATTAAATTATTAAAAACTATAAACAATTGTTGCCAAATTATTTTGAAGTATAAAATGCATAACATTTTATACAAGATTCCTAGTAGGGTTATTTACAGGAAATCAAAAATTAAAGTTTATTATCAAGTTTCAATATATTTAAATTTTTGTGTAATTTTGTTAATAATAACAAAACATTTATCGTAAAAGCATAAAATATTCCGCCATTACTTAAATCATCATTTTTAATACTTAATAACATTTTCAAAATGTCTAGACTAATTTTAAGCTATTTTAAGGCAAGTTAATTTTTTTCAAATGTATATAAAATACTATATTAAATCAAAAAATAACGATCTTACATATTATTTTGTTGTAATTCTAAAATATTATTCGAGGAGACTTTTGCGTATACTATTATGTCTTACTATACGCAATGACATTTTCTAAATTAGATTAATTTTAAGCTATTTTCTATATTGCCTAATTATACCAGTATACCACAAAATTATAATGATGGTTAATTATTTTAATTTTAAATTGACCTAGTTTTAGCCTAAATTTGTAAAAAACATACTGAATGATATTAAATAGGTGGTTTTTAGGTGCATTAATAAAATTATTCTAATTACTTACTTTGCATAAGCTTTCTCTAACAGAGCACTCCAGAATTCATCTTTGGTTGATGATTGAACAAATAATAATTTGCCTCTATGAGTCGGTAAACGATCGTCAATAACCACTTCAACCCAGTAGCCATTCTGCCAAAATCTAAAACCAATAAACACCGATATTTTTAAAAACGATTTACACATAATTCGGTTTAATATTATATATTTACTTAAAGTGGAATATACCAGCGTATGTATTATTATCAAATCCTTGGTCATTTGGCACAACATTAGAAAAGACATTTTTGTTCAAAGTCATACTTGCTATGGCGGCTAATAACCAACAGTCACCTTCCAGAATGAAAATAAAAAACGTTAAGATTATAGTTATGTATATTGTATTACTTATAGTTATTATTGATAAACTTTTAATAGTAGGTATCTATAATAGTATATAGATTCAAAATATTTCGTGTCAAAACAAATTCTCACAAACATTTTTAAAAAATTAACTTTTCCTTCATTATTTACCTAATTGTCCTTGTCTTACATCAAATCTTGAGGCCCCTTGCACAAAAAATTTGGGATCTTCCGTGATTTCCTAATAATTATATTCTCAATATTATTATTATAACTATGCGTTTATTTCAAAGAATAATTTATTTTCCACGAGCATGCTCGTGTAGGGAACCATATTATATAGTTCTGTTTAATTAAGTAGATTTTAAAATATTAATAGTTTTAAAACGTATATGCTCACTTTTGGTCTTCGCCACTGAAACCCATCTTTTGGGATATCATAAAATAGAGGTAAATCGTATGTATCAAATTCTGGATCTGTGAATTGTTTTTTTTGTATTAAACATTGGTCTCGGAGCTCATGAAAGTTTTGGACAAATCCGGCAGGTCTCTGTCGAACACCGGGACCCCGTTCGCAAATATTTAACATTTTACTGTATTTACTTTAAAATGTATTTGATGACCAAATGCACAATAAGTATGTACCTAAACTAGATTGTTTCACCAAGAATATACAAGAGCGTGTATCACTGTACCTCATAGTTATATACTATTTTACTATAGGTACCTAACTATCTATCTAAAATACAAAATAGATCATAATTGTATTTTTAATTATTATTATATAATTCGGTTTAAATTTAAAGGTCACTATATTTCTTAGATGAACAATTATTATTTAATATCGATAACATAACAATATAATATAAACTATACACTAATTTTAGGTACCTACTTATATATGCCTATGATAATAATATTGCCAATTAGTTGGAAATATTTAATTTAATTTAATATCATTAAATTTGCAATTGGCAATATGAAATTATAAATCAATACAAATAGTTACTCAGAATCGCTATTATGATTAACCTAGTTAAACCAGGCTAGTTTAAACTTGAAGTATAAATAATATAAAATTACAATATTATTAATATTCGTGTATCTATAAATCTTGAAATTATTTTACAGCACGTATTACAGTTTTAGAGTTTAAAATGTCGTGTACTAAACATCATTATATAGGTATCTACTTAAATATATTTAAAACCAATAAGCAATAAGTAGGTATAATATTAATTAGATTGTTACTTCCGTAATTCCGTCATAATAGTAACCATTACCCATTCAATAAGTAACTATATAGTATCGGTTTTTCATTTTTCTGGTCTTTCTGTTAACTAGATTAGTTTAATAAATGTTTAATTATATTATAATATATAAGAGGTGATGTTAAATAATAAAATAAATATTAAACGTAAATATTATAGATCAGTAAAGATATAAAATATAAAATTATTTCTTCCACTAACAACTAACAAATTCGACAACCACGATGTACAAAGTAGGTAGCTGATTAGAATAATAATATAATATATCATTGCATTTCATAATTATCTAAATGATTGTGTGTCAATGTTTCTCAAAATCTCACTATTTTGTCCATAAATATGGAAATAAATTAAAAATGAAAACATTTTTATAATTTACTGGCAAAACTTTGTTATTTCTAGATCGATTTCATTATAATATGTTAAGCTAAATTACCAGGCGTTGAGGAGTTTAGTATAAACATTTTAAATATTTGATTTGAAATAGTTGTTTCCTGCGTGCCCCACTAACCATTACTCATCATTTTTGTTTATTAAAAAGTGTTAAGTCGAGGGCCGTTTTTGAGTGCCCAGCAAGTCATTCATCATCAGTGCCATCGCGTATCCAGTGTTATTTTTGTAGGTACCTACCTATCTAAAAATATGTATTTGATAAATATATATTTTTTCTCTTTTTGAGCTAAACAATTTGACTGCTCTGTCAAAAAACCGTCTTCGCTAAGAACCGTTTATCGTGTACAATGGTTTTATATCAATAAATTCAAATTTAACACTATCCATTACAGTGACTTACTTGTAACCTACTGTTCAGCAAAATGACGGCCGTATATAATTTGCGCATCCTGTGCCAAAATATCGAACATCATATGCACATCAACATTCTGAACAATTACAAGGGTATAAAAAATAATTTTTGATTGAAAATTCAATGATTGTCATGTTATCACATGTAATAAATAGATATAATTAAACAATTAAAAATAAATTGCATTCATTCAATTTAATTGTGGTCATAATTATAATATATAAATGTAATACATATAATATAGGGTGATTCTTTTATTATTGAACACTCGTTATTTCAAGAAATTTAAATGTTTTTGAAACTATTATTTCACATACTTTCAACTTTTCGAGTCGTTTACAAAACAACGTTTTTATTAAAAATTATATTTTTATCCTTATGATTTTTTAAGTTTTTTAATTTTTTGAATGATAACATAGAGTTTTAATTTCATATTCCAAAGCAGAATATTTGTCTAAGTATTTCGAAATATAAAAATCGAATATAGGGTAGGTACTAGGTAAGTACCTAGTTTATGAGTTATGAGTATTTAAAGTTTTGATGAGTGGTGTGGAGTGATACGGGGTTACCCCTAGAAAAAAACCCAACAAATTAGCTTTAATTAATGTACCTAAGTACTCATATATTGTTTTTAAAATACAAATAAATCTTTTGAAAAATATATTAATTACCTATATTAAAAAATACAATATATTCAATAATTTTTTTAAAATTACAGATTTCAAGTGTCAACTACCTAAATAAAAACAGTAAATAAATAAATAATTCATTCAGAAATCAGATTATTTTACTTATAGATATAATATCTAAAATAATTTGTAAATATCGATATATGAAACAGATATCAATGAAAATCGAATTAGAAAAAAATGTTTAACATTGTAAATTAATATAATATTATTCTTGATAAATATTCTTGTTATGAATAGTGCACAACTACATATTTAAGTTATAACCTTGATATCGGTAAACATTAGGTATTAAAAATATATATATATATATATTATATATAATGTTCGTAAGACTAAAACTCAATTTAAATTTACGAGTAAAATGTTTTTTCCACCCATTCTTCCAGTGTAAACGAAACAACATTTTTATTTCCAGGATCGTGTTCTTTAAAGATATCTAAAAATAAAAATATACCAATCAAATTAATAATAAAATGAGCCAAAATTATTTTAACATAAGTTTAAACTCTAAATTTAAGATATAAGTGTTAACTTCCTGTATTTGTCGAATACAAGAATGACATAATATTATGGACTTAACATGTTTTGATCACAAAATATAGATTTCTCTAAGTAGTCAAGTAATAAGAATTCTAAAAACAGATTAAAATTTGTCGATTTGTGATTTGCTTATACTTGAAATGAACTTTTCCACAGTTTTAATTTTAACACATCTCCAAAAAATGAATATGGCTAAACATTAAAATAAAAAAGTTATAGTAGGTAAATTACATTAATTGAGTTATGTAATTAATATAAACATTAAAATGTGTGTCATCATAATCAAATTTAGTTTTAACTTAAAATTTGAAAATTAAATTGGTCAGATAATAATAATATCAGAAGAGTTTATGTTTATTTTATATGTTAAAAGTTAGTACCTACCAGTGAAATTTACATACGAAATAAGATACATTCGGTAGAATTTACAATCACCCGAAATAACGTACTGCGTGATGTCTAGGTCTAATTATGTGATCATTTTATTAAGCGCAACTAAAGGTGATTTTTTTGCCATCACCACTCAAATCCGTTTTCAGAATGCAATGATTCAATATCATTTGGTGTATGACTACTGACTAATAAACATTTTTATAAAATATAAAATTTAACACTTAATAAATGCATCACATTTAGTGTAATCGCCAAGTAATCTGCTATAATAGATAATTATATTCATTACACAAAATGGTTTTATTTAGACCTAACCAATTATCCATATTTTAGGACATCCGTATGATCGATTTTAATTATGATGATTGACAAATTTTAACTCATTAACAAGTTTAATTTAAATTATTATAATATACTATGTTTAAATCCAAATTATTTTTTTGAAGAGTAATCTACATAAAATATAAAAAAATGTGAATTTTGAATTTTAAAAGTTAATTTTATTGTTGTACTACAAATATAAATAATTTTTGGAATATAACCAATAGGCAATAGGTAACTTTCTAAGAGGCTTAAATAGACCATACTTTTCATTGATAACTTATGAAAGAGTACCTATATAAATAAACAAATCACCAAAATATAGTCAGTCATACCAATTTTCTTGCATTTTTACCCTTAAGGCCCCTTATGTGTCATTTTCAAGGAGTTGTATTTAGGCAATTATTTCGTTCCTGCAATTACTGATCGTCTTTGTGTGTGCAGTAAATTATCATTAGTGTGTGTATACTCCCCTACCAAAAACCGCGACCAGCATCAATTTACAATTCATTGTTATTTCTTATCTGGTTTATTGGTGGCACCCCACGCACATGCACAAGTCATTTAAAGTCATTAGATCAAAATATTCAAAACCAATTTATGGACGTGAAATAGCCACCGCACTGACAAAAATTAAGGTACTTCTAGTGGTTCGATTTAAAAAATGTAAATATGTTTGTGTTGGTAAACAAGTTTACTTTACATCAGTTGGAGCACTTTTTCAATTTTAGCAAATATTTGATGAGAATAAATATTTTACATTTTATAAATTTATAAATTTTTATATTGAATTTATTCAAAAATATCTAAAATATAAAAAATATACTCCGACCGATGTAAAGTAGACTTGTTGACCAAATAAAAAATCTTTACATTTTTGAAATCGATCCACTAGAAGTAGGGTTTGCAGGGGCCTTAAAATACGTCCGAGGTTCGACTGTTATTACCTTAATAACATAACTTGGAGACTGTGCTATGACTGTTTGAAAATAAAATGTTCACTAACCTATCGTTGTTTTAAGACGTATAGCACACATGATGAAATCATCGAACATTATGTATCCTTTTTTGTTTGCATACCGATGACACATAGTGTTTTAGTACGCGTTTTAATATGGTAACCACCGAAGATAATGCTGGTCTTGTTCAAATCCTTTGATATATCCCTTGTTCTTTTTATCGTAAGTTTTAAAAACCACCTAAAACAAAACAATTTATTATATAATATTGAAAACTTAATGAAAAGCAATACAATTATATAGTTGTATATCTTTACTAGTGATAGGATGTTGATGACGTTTGCATTTTTTTCTTTTAATACTATAAAATGCTATCTTAGCTAAAAATTCATATCATGCTCCATTGATTCAAAATATACTACTTTTATTTAGCATTTTCTTACATTTTTAGAAATTTTTATAGCTATAAATACATTTTTATGTTGAAAACGTCATATTAATATAATTATAAGTCACTTTTGTTTTTGAACTATGCCTGGCATTTTTCTCAAATTTTAGGTTTTAAAGAAAATTTGTTCTAAATAATCATTTTAGTATTCTCATTGGTAGGTTTGACAAACAATGAAAACTGAATTTTTTTTATATATAATTTTTAATAATTTCATACATATTTTTTACTATATATTAAACTTAAAATTTAAATATTTACTAAATTTTGTTTTTGAATATTTTTTAAGTCATTTTTATATTTTTTTAGGTTACTTACTTTACTTTTGAGGGCTTTAAAGCATTTTTTTTTATCATTATTGGTGTTTCTTTAGATATCAACATCCTTTCTCTAATCATTACTCACCTGCCACTGTCTAATGTCCATCAACAGTCTCTCGAATTCTTTAAAACCAAGTTTACCTGATCTATCCCAATCCATCATAGCAATGAAGCAACGACATACATCATTCGAGAATTTTGTGTTTCCAGTATCTATAAATATTATATTTTCTAATTAACAAGGTATTATAAATTAATCAATACTTTCATTGACATAGATTATACATAATATTATTAGTTAATGTAAATTATGTAAAAGAAATTCATGCCGAATAAAGGTAATAAGGTACCTAAATAAAAAGTTTGTAAGTTATACGTTTATATAATATACAATTTAAAAGTGTCAACAACTATTTGAGTGACACAGTTTCTTAATGTATTGCGTACATACATATTACATATTGCTTATGTAAGATCAAAATTTAAGAATTCCAAATTTAAATAAATGTCGACTATGTATATTTATTAAATATTTTACGATAATTACGGCAGGTATTTTGTTTATAGGTAGTCTGTTATTTAGATTTAATATAATGACTGTTTTGACGAACACGGACCTTTATTTTGTCCTCGGTATGATTCGAACAAATTAAACTACTAGTACCATAAGAAATCTGTAAACATAATATACAAGGTATAAGGTGTAACAGAATGACCTTACAAATGAAATAACTTTTGTTCTAATCAATATTTAAACATTTTAATTTAGTTTTAGTTAATTTATACTTAAATATAAGACACAAGGATAATTAATTACGACGGACCATACTTGATGTGAGATGATACAATATATATATGCATTAGGTATACTATTTCGTAATTTATTGTTGTCATATGAGTATATGACTTAGTCATAATGACTAAGTAGTTAACTATAGTATCAATGTTTATTTTTATATGTTGGGTCTTTTTGTAACTCCCTGTATGCAATTCGTATGAAGTTTGCTTGATCACCGATCATCTCGCTTTTACAAATGTTTACACTATGGCTAATCTTCTCATTATAAGCTTGTATTTAAAATACAAAAAATGGTGAAGTTTTAATTATTAATTATACAGAAGTAAAAAACAAATAAATAAATAAAATAAAATGTTTAATCTTAAGTAAACATTTAGGGGGGGGGGCACTGGCTACAACTTCCCCGGGGTCTAGTATTTTGGGGGAGCCAACATTTTGTGGTCGGAAATTTGTTCCTTTGTGAATTATTAAAACTTTTAAAATTTAAATTATTTCAATAACAGTATTATATAATTTTAATGTATTATGCTGTTTGAAATTAAAACAACTAATGTATTTATAGCTATGATTATAGCTATCAGGGCTAGAGATTTATTAATATACCTACCTAATGATAGTTCCTTAATACTTTTCCCAAATTTGTTGTGATTCAAATATTCAATAGACATAAGTTATTTCTAATAATACGGCGTATTTATCTAACTCGTGCCTACTACAAAAGTAAAATTTATTAGTGTACTAACTCGAACTACAGCATTTGTGAAATCTGCGATTACTGATAAATAATTTTTCTTTCATTACTCGGCCTTTTTTTTATTTTTTTATTGATCTTAAATACATCAACATCATCTGGGTCATTAGTACAAGGTGTTAAGTTAGGTAATATTTACAATACGTTACATAATTTTTTTTTTTTTTAAATTAGATTATAAAATTCTGATTTTTTTAGGAATAAAATTAAGGTGTTTGTGTCGGCACTGTTGGTTATTTATTATTAATTATTATTATATATTTGTTTTATTTTACTTTAATTATGAAAGGCAAAATAAAGTTAAGTGGATATCAAAATCGTAAACAAACTTTGTTAAAAGACAAAAAACCACTTAATGTTGTTAACAAATTCGGACAAATTCAAGACATGTTTCAAAAAATATAATATTAATTTACATAGGTTACCTATATAATTTTATTTTTTTTTCATATTAATAATATATTATTATGATTCATGAAGTAGGTACCTAAACATGTAAAAAAAAAAAGCAAACAACTTTTATATTGAATTGTAAGCAGGGCTCAAATCAAGTGGCATACACTCAATTGTATCATTGCGGATGGGGAGGAGGAGGAGTGTTCATGAAATTATTAAACAATATTTTATAAAAAGGCACACATTATTGTAAAACAAATATCCTTTTCTTTGCTCATAATCTAAAAAGTTCATGAGGATCTCTTTCCCATATTTCCCAGGGTTAGGCCACTCTTGGAGTGCACCAAATATTTTTTTGCACTGGGGCGGAAAATGTCCAAATGATCAAGATGACACAAGTCCTATAGTGGCCGAAGAAGAAGAAGAAGATAGCTAACAAAATATACCTTTCATAGCAAAATCCAAAATATTTTTAAGATCCATCCAATCAACCTCTTTGTCATTCCCAG